AAGGGATACTTAACTTTGTAATCTTTTTATATCCATCTCCTGCTCTGTGTCCTTCCACTACTTTATCCCAGAGATTTTGATAGCGTCTTGTTGCCCATAATTGACTCTTTACTTTGAGATGCACCACCCAGAAGAGGGTACCTATAAGAACAGCAGATCTAATTCTGAAACCATCATGATCACTACAGTTGAACACAGGTGGAGGCTAAATAGCTTGTTGTGTGATTTGGAAGTCAGTGCTAATTTCTAGTTGCTTTTACTAATGGCTGTGTTCACTTATGCAACCTATTTTTATATTTTTTAATTTGTAATTTCTTTTCAGAATGGTTTTTTGTTAGAGAGAGAGAGTCTTTATTATCCCTGGAGGGGCAAATTGTTTTAAAGCAGCAGTGTTGGTGTACAGATGGACAGAAGAAAAAAACACAACTGGAACAACAATATACATACATATTTGCATAGAAAGTCAAGTGTTAAGTAATGATTTGGCGACAGGTATGAATGAGAACTTAAATCTGTTGATTTTGGAGTTGGGGAGTTGGTATCTGCGTTCTGATGGGAGTAACTGGAAATTATTAAACAAGGGGTGTGAAGGATCGTCACAGATCATCAAAACACGTGTATGATAGATGGTGGAGAGAGCTAGAAGATCAGCACAATTAGTGTATAAAAAAGATAAAATAGATTCTGATTTAATGCGTCTTGATTTCACGCTGTTAGGCCACAAAATGTATTATGTTGGAAAGGGTGCATAGACTTTCTATAGGCATTGTATTTCAGGCATCTTGGACTGTCTAGTGTTATTTCAGGCAAACAAGTCTTGGGACCAGGCTGATTTGTTCAGTGAAAACCCACTTTATAGTATTGGTGATTGATTTCCACTAGGTTCTGTTCCATGGTTTGGGTACAATATAGCAGGAGGGCACTACTCCAATCTTTCAGGTTGGAACTTTGGATAGGTATAAAAGGTGTTTCATTAGTACAGTGAAGACCTCAACGAGTTGCATTAGCTAGTTAGGAGCTCAGAGTGAATTAAATCCTCCAGGTCTGGAGCTGGTCACACCACCGCTATAGTGTGGCGTTGTGCTTCCTGTTAATAACAAGATCCATTTTGATGCACAGAAGGCTGTCCCTTGAGCACTGCAGCATACAGCAAGCTGTGAAAAGTCTAGATGAACATTTGTAGGCTTTTCTCCCTTCTAATTAGGTGCAATCTCTGTTTTCTTGGACCACGCTGCTGTCGTGTGCCAACGCATCCATGTGGCCCAGCTTCAGAGCTGAATCACATTTTGACTGTTCCTTTGAAACTACTTATCCATTTATGCAGTACATGATAGCCACGCTTCTGAGTAAAAGCTGTTGACACCTAACTGGCAAATGTGTTGTAGCAAGGTAGAAGAAGGCCAATACAGAGTTTTCTCTTTTAAGGCTGTGATATTAAAGCAGTAATGATTGTTTTCATGTCTTTGCTTTTATCAAGACTGAATCACTTCTTGCTTCGGCATTGTAGCAGTTGTGTGATTATTTAAAAATTTCCTTGAAGTTAGCACAAATTAGCAAATGTATGATCTGGTTTTCCTGACAGCTGAGGTGGCTGATATTAAACAGAAACTGGCTGGAAATCTTGGTCGAGTTTCATTCTTTAAAATTCACAGTAGTTGTAGCTTTTATCTTGCGCCTGTACACTTTTTCTTTGGGGGGGAGTCAATTGCAAAAGCAGAATGTTGCTTTGATGTAACATAAAAGATCAAGACTGGTTTGGCTTGAAATAAAAAGGAGGGATTTATTTCTGGTTAGTATTTTAAGTGCTTATATGTGGCCATATTTTAAAATGCAGGCTTAAAATGTGTCAGTTTTTAAATACATCAGAACTTAGTGTTCCTTAAAATATTTGATTCTTTAATGTGTTTTTCTAGAGTTACATCATTGATGAATTATTAGATGTCCATGTGTCTCTTTATGCATTTGACCGTGAAGCCACAGGAAGATTTAACCAAGATACAACAAATACATTGCTACCTTGGAATTGGTCCAAAGAAGAGAAACCAAGGTAGCTCATTTTCAGACTTTCTTCCAAGGCATGTCCTATGCAGACAGTCTAAAAGAATTGAATCTTTTTAGTTTGGAACAGAGGAGGCAAAATTAATCCTGGCTAAAGCTGAACTCTGGGCTTGTCTCCTCTGGCCTCCCAAAAGTTTCTACTTAATTGAGGTGGAGAAGCAAATTCTTACTTCTTTGCTTCATCTGGTAAACGGTGAGGCTGTCACGCATCTAACAATTGACTGCACTTCAGTGGTGGATGTACATCGTGTTTTGGGAAAAGGTACCGTGGATATAAAAAGTCTGCACACCCTTACTGAAATTGCTGGTTTTTGTGATGTAAAGCTAGAAATCAAGATAAGTCAGACTTTTTTCCATCTTTAATGTGACTTTGCAACCAACAAAAGTCAAGAGAAAAACAAATAAATAATTATTAGGAAAAATAATCTAATTTAAAAAACCTAAAACACGCTGGTTGCAAAAGTGTTCACACCCCACCCCCAACTAATACTTTGTGGAAGCACCTTTTGCATTTATTACAGCAGTAAGTCTTTGTGAATATGTCTCTATCAACTGGCACACCTGGACACCTGGCTCAAGGAAGCTCAAAGTTCAAGCTCCTTCAAATTGCTAGGGGATCTCCTGTCCACAGCCCTCTTATGGTCATCCACAGGTTTTCTATGAGATTGAGGTCTGGGCTCTGACTGAGCCATTACCAGACTTTGATCTTTTTTTTCTGAAGCCATTCCTGGGTTGACTTGAATGTGTGCTATGGGTCGTTATCATGTTGGAAGGTGAAATCTTCAGCTTTCTGACAGATGCCAGCAGGTTTTGTGCCAAAATATCTTGATATTTGGAGCTAGTCATTATCCCATCTACCTTGACTAGAGCCCCTGTCCCAGCTGAAGAGAAGCAGCCTCAAAGCATGATGCTGCCACCACCATGCTTCACAGTAGGTATGGTGTTCTGTGAATGATGAGGTGTGTTGTCTGCGCCAAACATAGCTTTTAGAATTAAGGCCAAAAAGTTCAACCTTTGTCTCATCAGACCATAAGACATTTTCCCCACATGGTTTGCGGTGATTGAATGTATTTTTTTTTTGCTAAATTTAGACGGGCTTGGATGTTCTTTTTTGTGAGAAATGGCTTCCATCTTGCCACCCTACCCCATAGCCCAGACATGTGCAGAATATGGGAGATTGTTGTCACATGCAAGGAGTGACCAGTACCTGCTAGTAATTCCTGCAGTTTATTTAATGTTGCTGTAGGCCTCTTGGTAGCCTCCCTGATAAGTTTTCTTACTCCTTGTCCTGTCATCAACTTTGGAGGGTCGTTCTGATCTTGGCAATGTCCCTGTGGTGCCACATTTTCCCCACTTGTTAATGATAATCTTCACGGTGCTCCACGGTACAGTACATCCAATGCCTTTGATATTCTTTTATACCCCTCTCCTGATCGGTGCCTTTCAACAATAAGATCACATAGATGTTTTGTCAGCTCCTTGCGGACCATGGCTATCCCAGTAGGATGCAACTATGAAAGTTTCAAGGAAATCCTACAGGAACAGCTGATTTGTATTTGGGGTTAATCAGAATCACTTTCATTGATGGCAGGTGTATGCTACTTACCTTTGGACATGATTTTAACTGTGATTAGTTAACTCTGAACACAGCTACAGCCCCCATTATAAAAAGGTTTTTTTATTTCAATTATTTTTCCTAATAATTATGTATTTGTTTTCACTGGAATTTTGTTGGTTTCAAGGTCACATTAAAGATGGAAAAATGTCTGACATGATTTATCTTGATTTCTGGCTTTACATCACAAAAACCTGCAATTTCAATAAGTGTGTGTAGACTTTTTATATCCCCTGTATAGCATATAAATGCAAGGAATTATTATATTATGGAAAAACCTGCTCAGCATTGTTTTTTAAACTGATATCCTGGCTTCATTTAAGATACTCTAAACTTGCAGAGTAAATCTGAATCTTGCGCACAACATGTTTTTGTTTTTTTAAGAAAATGCGATCGCTGAACCACTTTGTGGGTGGGTTTTCAGAAAAATACACAGGACAGCCAATAGATCTGTGAGAAGAGGGCAGGGCTGTATGTGGCTGTTCCTCGGAAAGCTGATGACTTCAAGAAACAAACTTCCCGTTTTGCTCTCTGAGGTGATAGCCATTGCCCTGTAATTGAGGGAAATGTCTGCTTCTTAACTGAGTCTGGAGCTGCCAGCACTGTGTTGTGGAGGGCCTAGAGAGATATGCAGCAGAGTGAAACTGAACTCACACCTCAGCCTACGCAGTGCCACACAGCTGCTGTAATTTTCAGGGCATTGGAGGATAACCCTTCTTCGACTCTGAATCTATTTTTTGGAGTGTTGTTTGAAGACATCACCTGATATCAGCAGAACTGATCCAAATGTGGGTAACTACTCCTGCCATCCCTTTGCTCACTCTGGTGTCCCGTTTTATTTTCAATCTGTTTGTCTTCCACAAGCAAGACAAATTAAGTCTGCAGCTTAATGGGTTTCTAGTTCATGTTTCTATTAATGTTTCTGGCAAATGCACTCATTAAGTGACATGCCATTAAGTGACCTGTCTTTCCATTTTTCTGTGAGGGGCCTCTCAGCACTGACCGCAATCAGTTCACTTGTCAGATTTATCTAAGATATGTAATTTTCATGCATAGATCATTGCTGGAGAGATTATATTTTCCAGACCATTATGTGCTCAGTGTGGATTTGCCCTGCTTGTATTTCTGACTGCTCCCATCCTGAGTGGAAAAGAGCTAACAGAAACAATAAGGACATATTAAAATGTCACCTCACCTTTGGACCTGATCTGTTATTTTTTCTCCACCATCAGTGTTTGTTTTTTCAGTGCATAGCAAAATCAAGCACTCATTTTCTATTTTTATCTAAAAATAAGCATTGCCAAAACTGTGCTGTTGGAATTCCCAGGCCATTGACTCAAGAGGAAATAGCTCTGCGGAGGGAGCAGGCCAGGCGGAGACATGCAGAGAGACTCGCGGGCTCTCAGGAGCCAGACAGCCCAGAGCAGCCAGAGACGGGGTCTGGGTCTGTGCCTGATGCAGCAGCGTCCTGTGGGGAGAGCACCAAAGGCAAGTCTCTTCTCTTCACAGCAGACACAGGAATCGACGCTCCTGCAAATGCTGATGACATGCAATGTGCTTAAACCAATGCCAAGCAAATTATCATCATCTTATATTTCAGTCTCTCACCATGTGCGTTATAAAAATGTGTCAAGGTACTTTCACAGCTTAAGCAACGATTTCCAAAGCTATTGCTCTTGGGTTTAATAATCTAAAAAATAGTCTTGAGTTATCTTTTTCTTTAAAGTTTAAATTTGACAGTGCTGAGTTTCATAATGAAGATGTTCATTCCAGAGGTTAGACATCTGTAATAGGAAAGCTTCCAGTGAAGGTTAGTGTATTAGAATTAGAATTGGACCCATCACAGGACGATTCCCTCTCACTGATCACATTGTACAACATGCCAGAATCGTGAAGATGCCCTTTACTGGCTGTCATCTCAGTGCTTGGCAAGGGCATCCCCATCTGTTGTAAGTGCTATTCCTAAAGTTATCATCTTGTCATGCGTTCCGATTGCTGCCTGAACCATTGAGAAATCTGCCAGCACTATGAATTAAAGCTGTTTCGCACTCTTTATCTGTAATCTTTTGCTCCCTTTCATGTTTGATTTCTTTTGTGGAACCTTTGTAGCGTTTTTCACAATCACTGTTTGAAAATAGAACAAAAACGTTTCTCTGTACACATATACCTTCACCCTTGCCCACTTAGAGCAAGTTCATCCTTTGCTGTAAGTGTGGTAAGTCTCTTGTCATGGATACAGAGGTAGTATATCCAAGATATATTATAATATACTCTTCAACAGTGTAGTGAAAACTTACCAAAATCTGTGTGTTGAATTTTCTTTCCCAGGAGTGGACATGCTTTCTGGTCAGATGGAGACCATGGCCCTGAAAGCTAACAGGCCAGAGGAGGAGAACAAGGAGCACTTTATTGCCTTTGCCAGGGTGTACAGTGGGGTGGTGCGGAGAGGCCAGAGGGTGTTTGTTTTGGGTCCCAAATACGATCCGGCTGAAGCTTCACACAAGGTAAGGTTCAAAGCCAGCCCTGTGAGGCAACCATATCCACAAATCTTTAAATGCCCTGCTACATTACCGCCTGCTGTTTTGCTCCTAGTGAGAAAACAACACAGTGAAGTTATTTTAAATGTTGTGGTTGAGATGTTTATTTCACCTTTTTTGATAAAGGTCTGTAAACAGTGCTACTTGTTTTGTCTTCTTAAACCAGAGTGCTTTTTATTCAGCTTTGAGCACTACATTAGTCTGGAAGTTTGGAACCGGCTGTTTCTTATACATTTAGCCCTGTCCACTGGATGGCTAGGTTGTTGTTTTTATGCATTTTAATCTTTTATCTGGGCTGGCGATTCCTATTGTGTATCAATTATTGTAAGTCAATTTGCATGTTGACAACAGCAAACACCGAGTACATCACAGCACCATGTCAGGTTTTCATTGGTTGGCTGGAATTACCTCACATAAACTCACTGCTGCCTCGGGCATGTCTCGAAAGATGAAGAATGCCCTGCAGTCCTTCAGGGAATGGCTCAGATGATATCAAGAAGGTACTAGAAACCAAACGAGCATGACGGGCCAAGTGGCCTCCCTTCATCTGTTACTGAATTATGTTGTAATGTGAAAAGGGAGATTTTCTTGGTGACCCTTAAATACAATTCAGGACTTAAGGAGGAATTTTTTGTACAATGTCACAAAAAGGGTGTTTGTCTGATTTTTTTTAATAATGTTTTCCTTTTCAGTGACGAATTATAAAGACAGAAGTATATGAAAATAAAACATTATATAAATAGATTTTTCTGTGTGTGTGGCACTGAAATAACTTTACACAACCCCTTACTTAGCTTAATAGCAATTCTGAAAACTGTTTGAAAGCTGCTTCAAACTTCCTAGACCTGTATTCCCAACCTGCTGGTGCCTCAGAGGACTGGAAATCAAAGACTGCTCCTGAATTACCTCCATCAGTAATTTCCACAGCTCTGAAACAAGGCAACAGAGCTACCGCAGGCAGCTGCTGACACAGTAGTGTTGTTCTACCAGGGGTTCAATTGTTTTATTGCATCACACAAGCATGATGAGCTGGGCTACTTTATAACCAGCCCCTCTGGGTCATTTTATAAAATATTTTTGAAGTAAAAATAAAAGATACTTTGAAATGTCCATTTGCATGCAGGGGAGGTATGATGAGCATATTTTTGTCTTTTTTAGTGATTCTTTCCTGTCAGGTACTGCAGCTTTGGAGCTGAACACCAAATAGACAGTATAGAATAGACAGTTACGGTGCTGTACTTGTGTTTTCTGTTCGTTTCCGTAACCCCACTTGACCTCGTGCAGGGCTGAGGCACTGATGCATGTAATGAAAATGATGCCATTATCCGTGTGTGTGTTCCACAGGAAACTGATATGCTGAACATCATTTAGAGAAGCGTATGGGCCGAGATGGGCGCGGACTCGCGGCCTGCTTGCACATGTTCCACCACATCAAAGATTCCTACACCAGAAAGCAAACAGAAAGGATAGTTGTGGCATTAGAAAGACTAAACTGCCTTTAAACCTACGTTCACACATTCCCCTAGCACTCAGTGATTTCTTTCTTAAGTTCTCCATTCATTTACAGATGGTGGTCCTCCTTGGTTCCTCGGAATTTGTCTCCCATATTCATGTTTTTTTTTTCCTTTTTTCCCTTATTCAACCCTTTGCCTCACCTTCCTGTTCTTTCTCCTACATACCTGAAGAGTCTCCGCAGCCACAATATTGTGTTTGTTCTTGTCAGCTCGGAATTAACCTCTGCTTGTTCCTTTGTAGCCCACATACTGCCACGGGCTGTCACTGGCTCAAATCCCCCTGCTACTTCAGGCTGCATTACGATTTAGTGTTTTTTGGAAGAGCCTCAGATTAACAAACACCACGTGACTCTGATTTTCCTTTGATTTTCTGTCAGTCATATTTTCAGAAAGTAATGGTTTGCTGCTTTATGATGTTCCAGCACAGCACAGCTCCTATAGTGTGCTTAGCGTAGGAAACACAAATATGTGGGTTTAACTCATAAACTTTCTCATTCCTGTTCTTCTGAAGTCCACATTCGTTTTCAAACCTTTTTGGAATTTCCAGTGTTAACTGTAGTTATTCTGCGATAATGTGACCACTAAGAGCATGTAGGCTCAACTGCCTTTAATGTTTTTTTAGGAAGAAAAATATTAATTCCAAAGGGCGATAATTGAAATGCAACATTTAAAAATTGGTTTCAAGAATTTAAAGCCTGGATGATTGGGAATTTTTAATATTCCAATAAATAACCAATAAATAATTCTGAAAATGTCTCCACTTTGTGCCGCCACAGCAGATTTTGCTTACAAAATATAAATTATTAAAGCAACAAATTATCAGAAACAAACTTCTTTCAATTATTTTGGGTCAACAAATTAAAATGTCCTATTAAATCGATAAAAAAGTAAAAGAATTGGTAGATTAGATCTTGTTAGATCCCTCTTTCTCTGTGTAGTAAATTATATTGTGTATTCTATGCTACTAATAATAATGTATTATTAATATTATAATATTTTGAAATACTCTGATGAGAGTTTTAGATATGTCTGTGACTGGCAAAGGGAAGGGTCCATAAATGGTTGTGCTACCGATCCCAACACAAGGGTCCAGCACTTTTTTCTCTGGAGGTTCTTAATATTTGACTAGTGCGTATGTACTGTATTGGAATAGCCAGCATGTTTTCTATGATTTTCTTTAGCACAGTAAATATTTTTGACTATTCAAAGCAGTTTCAAACCTAAATCTCTGGGCTTTTGCGCCCAAAGAGCTGTGACTGCTGATTTGTTTTTCCTGATGACCAATTGTACCATCTGCCTTTTCTCATCTTTGTGCAATAAACCAAGCTGGACATGACACCTTTTGTAAGGTGATCCTCTAGGACAACTGCATTGGAATTCCTGTCAATTTCTGTCTGTAGGACCACAGTGCTGTTCTAAAAGGAGAATTATTTTTCTTTACTGCACAAAAGAAAATGTCCTTAACAATCAGAAGACTAGATGTTTATTTTTGTTTTTGGTTGCAGTGTTGCTGATTATTGTCTATTGTTACTGTTGTTTCTTTTTCTATCTGTCAGCTGCCGGAAGGCTGTTCTGCTGCAGATGATCTCCCATCAGTACCTCACTTGGCTTGTTGCACACTGGAGAATCTCTACCTGCTGATGGGGAGAGAACTAGAGGAGCTGGAAGAGGTGCCCTCAGGCAATGTGCTCGGTATGTTCATGCTCAAGTATTTTTCTGCTTGTTTTATGATACTGTGCCAAAGGCTTTGAAGGCATTTCTCTCTGAAGTTCAAAGAAAAATCTATATGTCTGTATCGGTCTGTAGAGCATCCCAGTCATTGCAATCATATTTCTACTTGGCCGTACAAGAAGTTGGAAGCTGGTTTTATCATTACTGAAAACCAAATCACTCGTTTGCGATCAAAGTGTTGGAGAAAATTAACCATTGTCAAGTAGAAGAAGTGAGTAACACTTCATTTTACATGCTGAGCAACGTCCACCTAAAAGCAAATCAACATCTGCAAATGTAAGACATGCACCTTCGCACAAAGAGGTGACGGTTTCTATTTTGTTGAGGAATCGTGATTAGTTAATAAGGGTAGTTGTTCTACGATAATGATTGTTCTCTGCAATTATAAAACTTTTTCATATGTGCTTTTCCCACAGTGTATGTTTCTATTTATTGAGCCTCAAAGCTTAGAAATTCACTCTGGATATTGGGCTGCATCCCTATTTTTCATACCATTGATGATCTCATTTGTGAGGATGATCTCAGCACTCATTTTTAAATGACACTCCCTTCCCTTCAGTGTTATCACGTATTACAGGTATTTTGCACTTCCATGGTTTCCAAAAGTTTAACAAATGGATGATGTGAAAAACTGCCTACACAAACTCCTTAACTCCTTTACGATATTCATTTTCCTGGGCTGACTTGAGAAAGCTCAATGAAGATTAATTGCCTGGTTTATCTGTACCAGTACAGATCGTATTAATCAGGATCCTCCTAAAATTAATGGCAGCTGGCGTTATCTGAAGTTGTCATAACAAAAAAACGTGTCCTCTGAAATATGTGTAGGAATTTCCTGATACTGTTTCCAGCGTGGGGCAGAAGGAATTAGCGTGAATTTGTTTTTCATCCCGGAGGTTTCCAAAGTGCTTTCCATGTGGAAATCTCTCTATTTACCGCTGACCTGTAGTCCCCCACCTGGATGATGTGCAGCAGCCATTTTGGACAGCAGATCGGGCAGAGAGTTAGAAATCGCTTTACTGTCTGAATTAATAGAAAACTTTAGGGAGGCCAGATTGTATAAGCCCAGGGACTAATTTAGTAAGGACACCAGGGCTAACATTCCTGTTCTTACGAACACTTCCATGGTATCTTTAATGACCGTGCAGTCAGGACCTTACTTTAGTATCTCACCACCAACTACAGCACAGTCTCCTCGGTAGCCATACTAGGGAACTGGTTTGGATATATTGGTCAAAGGGAAGATCTCCACCCACCAGCATGCAGAAACAACCTGGTTTTCCTTAAAAGCCTCCCATCCCAGTACTGACCAGGCCCAGCCCTGCCGAAGGCACACTACAGTGTTGCAAAGGTACAGTCAAGAAAATGTGTTTTCTGTATTGCCTTTGTCACTGGATTGTAGAAGTAATGTGAAATGTTATCATGGCTACAGGTAGAAGAATTGAGATTATCATTATCGGGCACTAACTCTCGAGCTCCCTTATTTATTAATAATGCACTTTGAAAATAATTTCATTGCTGCTTACCGCAATCAGACACAAAACAACTACAGACTGCAGTCAAGTTCATTTGCTATCGTTTAATGTTGTTGGCGTTGTCATTGGAGTATTGCAGATAGAGAAAGGTTGTTTTCCAGGAAAATCTCAAATGGTTATCAGATTCAAAGAAAATGTAAAAAAAAGTAATAATCTTGGCAAAACTTCTGTTTTTGTGTTTTCCTGTTGTGCTTCTGTGTGCCTTTTTTTGTCTTAAATGTTTGTGTACGTGGTCATCATCATCTCCAGTTTTTATCAATCCGCTGCTGGATGAAGGACTCCTCTGGAATTTTCCAGAGATCATCCATCTCATTCCTGTAGGCCTAGTGACTTCATTTGGCTATCTTGCAGGAGCTCTTCCTTGTGGTTGTTTTTAGGATTGGTTCCAGCTCCTTGGTGCAGTGATAATCTATACTTCTGGCTGTGTATCCAGCCCCTATCCTATATGTACACCTGTGCATTTGGTTGTGGTCTAAATGATTAACTATTTTTTTTGCCTTTCCATGATTGTTTTGAGTCATATTCACACGTCACATGTTGTTTATATAGCTTTAATTTTTTATTTTTATATAGATAAATCTCTAATGTAGGAATACTATTTCCCTTACTCATTGGTTTATAAGATTATAGTTAATGGTAAATGGAGGTCTGTGCCTGACTAGACAATGAATACAGCCGTTAGAACACTCCAGGTTCTGTATTTGATTGTTTTTCAAGGGCAGTGATGTGCTTCGTAAAATAATCAGCTATTATGCCGCATAGAAAAGACAGGATTCAGCAAGTTGTATCAATGCAGTTGCTTATAAGTTCAGTAATTATTTGATCTTATTTTAGAATGTGTGTTAAAATTAAAAACACAAACAGTCTGTGCTGCTTTATGTTCAGATTTCCTTAGGTTAAAAGAATGTCAGGATTAATAACATTTGCATGAAGTATAAAAAATAAGAATGTGCACTAATGTGGTGTATTTTACCTGAACAAAGTAACATCGTGGGCACTTCAGTAATCTCATCTGCACTTAGTTCCCGGTCTACCACGGGAGGCAATGAAGTACAATGGCAATTAGGAAACAGTCCAGCTGTGGGCTAATCACAGCAAGGAGCAGCTTAGCTTGTCACTGAGAAAAAAGTTCTCAATCTGTGTGTGATGTGGTCTGTAAATTACACAGACCACACGATGAGCGAAGGCCTGTGCATGACAGAGCAGGGCAGATCCTCCTCAGCACTGGGTCGCAGATTGAAAGCAGACGCACGCCACCCCTTGTGCAGCAATCACCACATCACACAGACAAAGGCAACACATTTGTGCCATTATCGATATGCTTGCTGTTTCCTGCCAGCTGGAACTGTGGCTACATGAGAAAAAAAAACAGAACAGTTGCTTCAACTTTCTCTTCATTTGAAATTTTGCACGATTTTGGTATATTTATTAGCTGGCAGGGACCTTGGTCTCTTTTTGCACTGAGCACGTGTTTCTTAAAGACAAAGGGAGAAAAAGACATCCTGAGTTCTTCTAGGGGGAGGTATTCCACATGGGCCCAGTTATTCTCAGTTTGGTAGTGATTCAGACTCCCAAAGATAGCCCAAATTATGTTCTTTCGTGATCAAAGTGATTTTTTTTCTAATTTTGTTGGCAGAATTTGACCGTTCATATTTTATTGAGTGAAATTATTTGGGAAATAAGGACAGATGGGCATCTAAAGCCCAGAAGAAGAAGAAAAACATCCTGTTTCTAAACTAACCCTACTGTAGCTCCTGAAATGTCTAACCAAACACTGCCTATGTAGTTTTCTGCTTTTAAACTGGTGAGTTAAGTAAGTCTAATAAATGTGATATATTTAAGTTTGAAGGTGAAACCTTTAATATTTCCCAGAAAGATGTAACTCATACCTCATGGAAATACCACGGAAGTGTCTTTTACCTCACCAGCTGAGATTCAGTATTGTCTAGAATATTTATAAGACAATCTGTTATCGGTAGGAAAATAAGATTGGATTCATTCTAACAGGGGAAAGTATGATTTCACTGTTCACATTCTTTTTAATAAAGCAAATACATTTCTTTCTGAGCCTTAACTTTCATATGAGGTTTTTTGGAGACTGACTGAGTAACAAGTCAAATTGTGGAATTGTGTTCTTCAGTTTACTCAGATATAAAAAGTAGAACTGTTTTTGGATTTTTTAAAAAGGTTGGTGTATATTCCATTAATTTATGGAATGTTGTAAATGAAATGGAGTTTCTTATGCCAACTTTTTGACTGATTATTTGATGTGCTGTAAAGTAGAGCACAACATTTCCATGGTTGTGTCTTCATTGTATTTATGTTTGTTTGCTTGAGTTCACATTTAATCAAAATTCCATATTTTTGTGAGCATTTTACGCAAGATATGGAAGATACAGAGCACTGTCTTATATCAGCCTGTGATCACTCTCAGCCTTTATCCACAGGTGTTGGGTGTGTCTGACTGGTGTCCACTCTCAGCACTATGCCTGTATGAGCAGGTGCAAAGTACATGTGACCTGTGTCCACTCTCAACATGCATGCACAGATATTCAGGTTATCTGACCTGTGTCCACTCCCAGAGCGAACTCAGCCTGTATCCACAGAAGTTAAGTGTATCTTATCTGTGTCCACAGATATCCAGTTTATCTGACCTGTGTCCTCTCAGCCTATATCCACAGGTGTTTAGTGTATCTGATCTGTGTCCACCATTCTACCATCTGGCCTGTGATGACTCTGAGAGCTGCACAGCCTGTTCAGTTGTATGGGAACTGTTGTGGAGTTGCCTACTTTTGAAGAGAAATTTTTTTCTGCCCAATACACTTGCAATGGTACCTTACCCCTTTTATTTTGCACTGTACAGAAAAGTAGAAGTCAATTATTTGTAATCTTCAGGATAATGTGATTTTTCTCTCTTTGTTCAGCTGCAAAATTCACCTAATTAAATTTCATTGACATGAACAAAAAACCTAATGTATTTTCCTCTCAGACTCTTCATCATTTCCATAATTTGTTTATTTTTTGTTAACATTATGCTTCACAAGGCTCCTTGACACAGAGAAACTATCCTGTCACATGCCACCTCCTTCCTGCTGTTTCACTCATTCAGGTTCAGAGGGATCAGACTGAGGCAGGTACCCACAGGTGTTTCCAGGTTTTAGGTCTCTAGTATGATATAATCATTCTTCTTCCATTTAATTTGTGGTTTGTGAAAACATTCCATTTCACTTTTTTCTTTTGGACTGGGCTGTGTGAACCTCTTCATGTTTATGGTCCATTTAGACCTTTGAACCAAAGTACAACAATGCACAGCTGACCAGAGTTTCAGTCTAGGTGGTTTTAGTGTGTGATTACACTGTGTAACTCACCTGCACTCTCAGGAGTGCTCAAGGACCTGGCACTGTAGTTCAGCGGGTTTGATGCTTC